TATTTTATTGCTGCTTCACTGACATGATAATAATGATAATTGTACAATTTTTGTTTCTTGCGTAAGAATTTAGGTATTGTCACAAATGCATTTTTTTAAAATGAAATTTCGAGAATATTTTTAGTTATAAATAAACAAATTTGTGCATTCCACATCGTGTTGTAAATTGCCGAATTTTTAATGGTCCCCCATTATTTTTTTAATTGCTTCATCTCATGCATTTAAATTTTAAATAGACCGATTTTAGATTGCCGGGCGTACCCCTTCATGCAATTTCGCGTACCCCAGGGGTACGCGTACCACTAATTGGGAATCACTGAAATAGACATTTAAGACAAGAGAGATTATGATGATGGCACATACTTAAAAAAAACACAGTTTTAAAAGTGTATTTAAAATTTTTAACAACACTAAGTTAAAAATTGAAAAGCTTAATAAAAATAAAAAAGAATACATACACCAAAACCAGAACTATAAGCTTACTTGAAATTGTTAAATCACTAGTATTTCAGTCACTTAATTTGCTTCTAGATTAAAAATATAAATATTCAAACTAACAAAATTTTAACTTCTGTAATTTTATTTATAACAAACTAATTGTAACTAAAAATTGTCAACTGGATAAATTTAAAAAATGAATAAAACAATCTTTTTAAATATCCAACACAAAGCTTTTACTAAACTAACAATTTCAAGTAAGCCAATGATTCCCAATTAGTGGTATGCGTACCCTGGGGTATGCAAAATTGCATAAAGGAGTATGCACAGCAATCTAAAATCAGTCGATTTAAAATTTAAATGCAGAGATGAGCAATCAAAAAAATAATGGGTGGACCATCAAAACTTCGGCAATTTACAACATGATGTCAAATGCACAAATTCGTTTATTTATAATTAAAAATATTCTTGAAATTTCATCAAAAAAATGCATTTGCAACAATACCTAAATTCTTACGCAAGAAACAAAAATTGTACAATCATTATCATTATGTCAACGAAGCGGCAATAAAATATTTACTACCATTTTGCACAACATACCTCTGCGAGAGCGGATTTTCAGCCATGACAAACATGAAAACTAACATCATCACCGACTTCAACTCGAAGATGACTTGAGATTGAAGCTGACTAAAAAGCAACCAGATTTTACAAAGTTGTGCAAAGAAAACTGTGCACATTTGTCACATTAAAATTAAATAACCTTATGTTATTTTCATTATTATTAGAATTGTATTTTAAAGGTGATAAATATTAAAAAAAAACTTATTCTATTTATCATTAGCTGTCTACCCACAGCTTCGCCCGCATTATATCGAATTTTCTCATGGGAGTAAGATATTTTCACACAGTAAAATGTAGTCCATGTCCATCTCCAACATGTAAACTATTTCTGTGCCAAATTTTAATAAAACCTGTTCAGCGGTTTAGACGTGAAAAGGTGACAGACAGACAGAATTACCTTTGAATTTATATTAGTATGGATTAATATGAATTTCTGCTATAAGAGGTACGTGAGTTTGAGCTCTTTCTTGAAGTGGTATGCAGGAAAAACTAATTGGGAACCACTGAAGCAAGCTTATTGTTCTGGTTTTGGTGTATGTAATTTTTTTATTTTTTATTAAGCTTTTCAGTTATGTTGCATGTACTCCTCTATTTAAATTAATCAAGCACTACTGTATTTAAATGTATTTAACACTGATATTTTTTCATTAATTCTTAATATTTATGTTTAAACTTGATGAAAAGCTATAAATTAATTTGAAAACATAAATTTAGCAAAAGTTTGATATCAATATCTAAAAATATTGTTTTATTCCTATTAATAACATTTTTTTTTTTCAAAAGCTATTAATATTTGTATATATTTCCTAAATTTTTATTTAAACAGAACTCCCATTTTCAAAAATGATTGATATTAAAAAAACATCACCTACAAACAAACTAAACCAAAGAAACTTAAAGTAAAGTTCAGACAAAGTAACACATTTCTAATTGCAATTAACAAGAAAGAAGGAATTTAAATCCTTTTTGAAACTGCTATCATCCTTTAATTACATTTTTCAGAGATATCCAGTATATCTTTTTTGTATATATAAATATATATGACTTTGTGAAGTTGTACACATTAATATTGTCTGTTACACTAATTAAAATATTCATGGAACTTAGCAGAAAACCAAAAAATAAAGAAATTATAATAATAAAAAGTTTGATGTTATTCCTAACAATATTTTAATAAATTTTCAAAAGGTCTTGAGGAAAAGCTAATAAATAAATTTTAAGAATCAAAAAATTAAGGAATTGTTAAAATTTAAGTATCACAATAAAATAAATAAATGCAGCAAATATTTTTATCAAATAGTCTATATAAACAAAGTGATATTAAAATAAAGTTAATAGATATTAAAATACAACGAAAATATTTTATTTCAATCTTTATATTATTTTTTAATATAAAAATTTAAATTATATGATTTAATATATCTTTAAATATTACATTATACAGTAATTGTTCAAAAATTAAAAAATGTCATACTTTGAGATATTAATAAAAAAAATTATAATTTTATTCTAAAAGATTATAAAATCAATTATAAATTCAATGCATTTGAAATACAATTATTTTTAATATAATTAATTAAACAAATATTATTTCTTTTTAATTTAAAACAGTAATCATTTCTTTTAATCTTAAACTATGTATGCCATTAATTTTATAAAACTAAAAATAGATAAATTTACAGAAATTTCTAAGCTTAAAATAAATATAAAGTACAATTTATTTCTTGAGCATAATTATGAGCATTACAATTATGTTTGTTAAATAATTGAGATAAGCATGAAAATCCAGACAGCACTCCTATCTTAAATTATTCTTACTTTAAAACACAATATTCTTTGTAATCAATTTTAATGTTTGAAAACAGTTGCATTTCTTTGCATTTATATATATATATATATATATAAATGCAAAAAAATGCAACTATTTTCAAGCAAATTATATATATATATATATATAATTCACTTGAGTGAAATATTTCTTGTTGTTATGTTTGAATTGAAAATGCATTGCTATTTGAACATTATCTGAACACTTTCAATAATCACAATTTATGAATACCACTCAAAGTTGTTCTTTTTCCAGACCTTTCTAAATTTAATTAATTTATCTAAATTACTTAACCATTAAAACTATTGAAAAATGTGACAAACCTACTTTTAAGACTATAGTGGCCTAATCATTAATCAGTAACCTGACATTTTGCAAATCATTAAATGTTTTGTATTCTAAGAAGAAAGATTTAACAGTCGAAAAAAAATTTTTTTAATGCTATTTTTAATTAGAATATGATTGAACAGTCTTGCTTTGTAATTGTGATGATGAATCAGTTAAAATTAAAAGTAATTAAAAGATTTATAAATTACTTTATAAATCTTAACTGAATCTTTTATATTAAAATATATAGGTATGTGCCTCTTAATACTAAAGGTCCTGTAATATTATAATGAAGCTGAAAAATTTGTAGCAGCTTGTACCTTTGATACATTTAGATAAACATATGAACTATATCCTATAGATCTTGAAAGGAAAGAAACACTATAGATGAACAAAAATTTAAACTTCAGAAATTATTCTGATCTCATAAAATAAATGTGTTTTTTAATCATTTATCAAAACTATGAACTATTAATTTATAATTATATGTATAGTATTATATGATCTATACTTTGTTTAACCAATAAATGAATTAATTACATATTTTTATTATTTCTTGAATGCTTTTTTAAAATTTAATCTGTACACACACAAATACAATTGTTTTATATCATAAATTAAATCAGTATCTTTGTATCATCTTTAATTTCAACTGTACTGATAAATGTATAACACTGTATGTACTAATAATAATAATAATAATGTCAATGCAAAAATACTGATTTAATTTATCTTAACTATAAATTTACTTATTTTTATATACTACTTCATCTTCATTTAGTATATAAAGATGTAAAAGTAAAAATGTTTTAAACATTATTAAAGTTTTATCATTAACCAGCTTTAATCTTTTTAAAATGAGCAAATAATAAAAATAAATAAATAAATTCATAACTGCAAATATTGAATAACAGTATCACTACCCAACTGCAATATATCCTACACACTAATAAATTTGAAATTTGTGTATAGCTCATATTAAAATGCAATGTATTCTGAAGATTTAAAAGAATTAAATTTCACAGAGACAAAAACAAACCACAATTTTAGTAATTGATGACAAGATGTTAAATGAAAATAAAACAAATGTTTAACAAATAATAAGTAAAAAATTTAACAAAAATATCTCAAACAATTCTCAATTGACTGTTTTTAAACTTTTACAAATACAAAACAACAAATTTTCTATCAAATTGCCAAAAATATATTAAGAAAAATGTAGATTATGAAAATAAATTTAATAATTGGCATCTGATAAAATCAAAAATGTAGAAAAAGAAAAAATATATATAATTTAAAAATTTATTTTATGATAAAAATATGAACAAATTATTCTAAATATTGGAATTTAAGTAATTTTAAGTTTGATTTTTACCTCATTATTATTATTATTATTTTATTTTTTATTAATTTTAACCAGTAATTGACCTTTAACATACTTTCCGAACGTTTTTAGACTTCACCAAGGCCTACCTCAGGTGTTTAACAAAACTGACTTCCAAAAAATTGGAAATTGAAATTTTTAAAATTTTGAAACTCAATCATTCTAAAATATACTTATAAAATTTTATAAAACTATTTCATATTAATAATCTTTTTTCATACATGCTTTTAAATTTGATTTTTTATACTGTTTCAGTTAACTTCTAAATTAAATGTTTTCAGGATTATAAGTAATTTAGACTTACAGTATACAGTATATAATATATTATAACAATATCTCTTGTTTATATAGGCTTTTTGGTCTGCTGCTTGTTCAAATGCAATAGTTTCAATTGCTTACCTGCCATGTCTGGAAAAAAAAAATATATATACACATATAAAATTATCTTTAATATATCACTTGGTTAAAAAAATTTTAAGTTTTATTAGAAGAAAAATTACCCTGTTCGTCTATTGTTATAATTTCCATAGCTGTAAAATAAAATTTAAAAAAAAAATCACTTTTGATGATTATATTTCAACATTTAAACATAATTACATTTATTCTTAAACATTAAACAAGCAATCCTTCATCCATGCTTTTGAACTCTTACCGTGGAGGTGGCGGCGGTCGTCTTCCACCTCTCCTACTTCTTCCATGTGACATTTCCACACGAACACGACTACCACACAGCCGTCTAAAATAAATATAGTTAGGAGAAATGCAAATAAGAAACATTTTAAATAATTTTTTCTCTTCTCTGAATTAAGAATAAAATTTTTTGACAGACAAAACCCTATATCACTTGATTTGATTATGTGTAATATATGGAAATATCTGTAATCAGTTGACTTTTTCCCTAAATGTGTGCTTACGTTCCATCAAGACTTCTGCAAGCATCTTCGGCATCTTGAGGATCTTCAAATTCTACAAAAGCGAATCCGGGAGGATTTCGCGCTACCCACACATTACGTAGTGGCCCAAATTTACTGAAAGCTGCTTCTATTTCATGTTTAGCTGTTCCGCTACCGAGATTGCCAACATAAACTTTGCATTCCAAACTCCATTCTCGAAATCGTGACATAATATAAAGTTCTGAAATAAAGAATAAAAACTAAAGTAAAACTGAAATAAAATAAATGAACAAGAAATAATGAAAATTATTGATATTTTAATATACCTCATAGGAAATATTGGTGATTTTAAAAATTATTTTATGAAATAATAAATTTGCCAAAAATTAAGTAATGATGTTTTTACAAATTCATATATAAATAAATTAATAATTAATAATCTGCAACACTGTTAACATTAAAATTCAATGAAACATTACCTTTAAACAGTAAGAAATATTTGAATCTAATATTTTTGGTCTAATTTACAGATCATCATTTGGATTCTTTATTAATTAAATTTATTCCATAACATGCAATGTTAATGTTCTCAAACATCTAAATTCAAATCTGATAATGGCTATTAACATAGATGAAACCATTTTGTCAAACTGATGCTAGAATATATTTTCAACGAAAATTTTAATTAAAAATGAAAAATAAAGTTCCAGAAAATGATCTTAAAGCTTGAAAATAATTTACAATATTCAACTACTCAAAACTGGGTATATTAATAAGCAAAACACATGAAACCAATTTCCAGCAAAATTTTACAAGAAAACAAACGTTTTTCAACTGTGTTTAATAGGCATTGTCATGCTAATTGCAGTTTGAATGCAGATCCACATGTTAAAAGTGGGGTGACATAACAGAAAGAGGGGGGAGGAGAAGAGGGTTGTAAGATTAAACTTTGTAGATCAACTTCCATGCATGGGGAAGAAGTCTACATCTTGAAAGTAGTGTTACCACCTGTCCGGTTTTCACCCAGACAGTCTGAGAATTGACTCACTGTCCAGGTGAACTATTAATTTTGTCCAGGAATTTCGTAGAAATTGTGAAATTACAATGAAACAAAGTTCTTACAAATATTTTTACAAATTTACACTATTTTAACAGCAATAGAACTCACACCCACTGAATCTCATCTACAATTCTGCCATGTTCATCTGTTTACGCTGACATGTGGCACGCAACTTGTTGACTTTTTTTTTCTTTTTGCAAGTATGATCATACACATCTACAGGCTAAGTTATCTAGCACATTATTCTTCGCATTGTAAAATGACATTGCGCATATGTGACCTGCACAACTTCTGTTCAAACAACTTGGCCTGCCGTCCGGGTCAACAATTTTGAAAAGGTGAACACTACTTGAAAGCTTATAGTCACTTTTTTCTAGCAGCTTTGTAAATTTCAAATTACAGTAGAGCGTTGATTATCCGAAAGTCAATCATCCGAAAGAATTCCAGTCGCCAAATTTAAATTTTCGCCAGTGCTGTGGCGCTGCAATCTTTGGCTATGTCTTGGGCCACTCAAATATTTTACGTTTTTGATACTAAATTAACTTCTGAAGTATAATTTTTTATTGTTTTTATATTTTTCAATATATTTATTTTGTT